GAATGGAGAGAAGGAGCACTCGGAAAGGACGAAGACGAGGAGAGGAGGGGAACTGAAGAAAAGAAGGACGGGCAAGGGGATTATGGATACAGGAGGAGAAGGACGGGGATAAAAAAAGGAACACAGATAAATCAAATTCTAGAAAAAAAAAAGTTTTAGTAAGAGTTTTACGGCACTCGTAACTGCATAAGGTCATATGAGCGCCAGAAGATTAGAGGTGTTACAAGAGAGAAACAAACACAAAAAGAAGGAGGGGAGATAAGGACGATAGATGGTTGATAGGAAAGAAGGAGCAAACCACACCAGAGCACCCACTTCTAGAAAATACAACTTACAACAACTACAACCACAGCAAAAACAACAACAACATCAGTAGCGGCGACAACAATGCTCACGAGCAAAAACAATAACAACAACAACAACAACTACAACCACAATCAGAACCACAACCACCACCACCACAACAACAACAAAAACCACAGCAAGAAGAACAAGAACATCAGTAGCGTCGACGACAACAGCTCATGAGCAGCCACAACAACAACCACAACCACAACCACAACCACATCCACAACCACAACAAAAACAACATTTACTCGTTACAACAAAAGCTCGTGAGCTGGTTAGTTCCATACCGGTACGATGACTCAGCATTCTCGCGCCAGACGGTTCACTCAGTCACCCTTCCCTGGAGGCGGAAGATATAGAGACGACGTCTCAATGTCCCATCTGTCACTCAAATCACATTTTGATATCCAATGATATTCCAGATGTCTCCTTCGTGCATGATGACTAAGCATAATTACATACTCCTCTCAACAGGACATGTTAAAGCAATTCCAAAGTTTTGTTTTAACGCCCCTTTAATAAAACTAGGTTATATTATATAAACATAACACTAATAGTACACGTAGGATGTCTCATTCGATGTAATTTATTGAGATAGTTTAGGAAACGGACTGCTCAGATCCATTCTTTAAGGCTGTTCCGGATCTGTGTTGGATTCAGCATCCCAGAAGACAGACAATGGGGGACCCCTCCCCCCCCCAAGTCTCCTTTCCCTCTTTCTTTCTTTCTTTCTTTCTTTCTTTCTTTCTTTCTCTCTTTCTTTCTTTCTTTTTATAGCTGGCCTTCTCCGGAGGGCGGCAGACTGCCATAAAAATATGCAGTCAGATATGTGACGACCTCTTTTGGTTTTGGTCCATAGCTAAACTGGTCCGGGCCGGGTAGTGTCTTGGAGCAGCGGTTCGGGATCGCAGTATCTATTCGGAGACGTCTCCGACGGAGATAGACCAATCAAAATGCTTTGTGCCTCTGGACCAAGTAAAATATCTATGGAGGGGGAGGGGGGGCATGCTTCCCTGTTTTGATCCAAAATTTGATATTTTGCTACTAGGTTTGAAATGTTCTAGAAAAGAATTGATTTGCGACAGTTTTAGTGGCTGTATGCGTGATCTGCAGCAAACAATACACAGTTTGACCCCTCAAAGCAGTGCATCTGTGTGCGCGAGTGCGTCTCCGAATAGTTCCTGGGAGCTCGCCGGAGACGTCTCCAAATATGTTCTGCCGTTCGTGATACAGGCCCCCGTGCGGACACTCGAATACTGCGTGTCGTTAGTCGTCAGGACTGACACCACATTGGGGGCTCTCGTGGTCTAGAAGTTAAGGTGTTGGCCTCTCATTCAAAGGTCCTGGGTTGGAATCCGGGTAGCGGCCGAAAAATTTTCTTCTAAAATTGTCTCTTTTCACCTCATTTCCTGCTCTCTAGCAATGTTCTGTCCTCTGTTTTCGTCTCCTCTTTCTGCTCCCACCCACTTACCTACTTTGCCCCCTCCATTGGGCTCCTGACTGTTTCTGCAGCCTTTCTACTGCTACTTCTCGACTCCTTCTAACTGCTGTCTTTCAACAGCACCTATGATCTTCTGGTAGGAAATATCTACACCTAGGCTTCTCGGACAAGGGCGAAACATCTCGGAGGGCTCGTGTGCAAGTTGCGCTCGTTAAAGATCCCTTGCTGGTCTAAAATCGATACGAGTAGGCTTCGGCCGCCACCCGGGCAAAATTCAAAATTTCCTACCAACTGAAATTGTTTAATGTGTCCCGCGCGCTCATATGAACATATGCAGTTGCGAGCACCGTAAAACACTTACCAAAAAATAAAATAAATTTTTTTTAAAATGACACATTTCGGGCACGAGTCGTCTGGGATAGAGCCTGTCATGTGGGGGTATGGCTGCAGGAAGGACTCTTTGCGTTGCACCTTTATTTCGTGACAATAATATGTGAAGCAGCATGGTGAAATCAGGCGCTCGTCAAAATAATCAATGTGAAGAAACTGGCATTTTTCCTCAGGTTTGTGAATTTTTATCGAATTTAATTTTCGTTTTTTGGCTCAACACCTTTCATGCCCATTAAAAAACGCATTTCTGTCTGGATTTTTACTGAGAACCCATGATTAAAGGCACAAAAAATGTGAATTTTTAGTTTCCACGGACTCTCAAGCTAAGGAAATAGCTATTGTTGGCGGCCATTTTCTCACTAATTTTACCTCAGAAACCAGATGGCCCCCCATCTCCTTCATTCGCAAATATCTCGACTTCAATGCAAGATAAATGGATAATATTCTGTTCATCCAAAGCAAGACAAATGAACAAGCTTTAAGATGATACCAATAACTATACATTCCTCAAAATTGCGAGAGCCTGATTTCACCGCGTCGTGACACATATTAATATTCTTTTTTGTCTTCTAGCAACAAAAAAATCTTCTCCACTTGGGAGTCGAATTCACGTCTTCCGCGTGCGACGGCGGAGGACCTAACTGCTACACCCCAGACACCAATAAAGCAAGTTTATCAAAGAGAGTTTGCGTCCATCTCTGATACGACTTAGCTTTGAAAGTGGAGAGCAGCGAGCACAGCTGAAACAATCCAAAGCAAAGAGTATCCCAATTAGAGATTCGAACTAGGAACGCCCATATCGCAGCCCAGAGTCACGACACATGGGCTATGGGATTTGAGTATTTGAGTTAAGAGTGATACGCCGGCACAACGACGACTTTCCATAAGTACTGGAGGAAAAAAGGAAAACAGACACAAACAACGGAATGCAAGTGACAGTAAAGAAGCAGGAACTACCAGTGGGGTTCGTCATCAACTACCTGCAGCGAGTGGCGAACTGCAGTGTTTGCAGTATACTAGAGGAACATCAGCAGAAAGGGCGACAAAAACAATCCGAACAACACACAGAAGGTATTGATTCCAGTGGGGAAGATTATCGGTGTTCATTCTCCTGACACTGAGGGTGGTAATAATAGCTACAAGGCATACTGATTGAACTACTTAGGGCTACATCTTCACCTTTCATAAGGTATCCCCAGTCAGCTAACAAGGCGTGCACATACGTGCACTATAATGCCGTAAACCTTGTTTCTGACATCGTATTTACGGTTCACCATGGAGCGCACGATTTGAACCAAACGAAAGGCACGCACAAAAAATAATAATGACATAATAAAATAAAATAATCAATGAAATAAAAAAAGGAGTTGCAGGGCGTGGGAAGGTACCGAGCTATTATATAGTGACACTGGTGTTTAGCTGTTCATGTGAGCGTAATGCCACGGCTCATAGCGTGCACGGCTCGCAGCGAAGCTTTTGTAGAGACAGAAGAGAGCGCGGTCATTCATTGCTGTTCGCTATCTAGGTGTATAACAAGTCTATGGTATAAGGGGATAGTTAGAAACACGCCTTTGTTCTGTTCCCAGTGGGTTGTGATGAGCACCTTGCACAAATGTATTGGTTGGTAGAAGGGTATGATGTATAAATTTGATCACTTAAAAACAATAAGTCTTTTTACGCCGGGGACAAGTTTGACAGACAATCAAAAACTGCGACAAGAAAGACTGAGTAGACAAACTGACTGACAAACAGAAGCAGGAATAGTCAGATGGACATCTCATACAAACTCAGTTCTTTTCTGTTTAGCTAAATCCTTCCCAACCCCCCTCTTTTCTTTACCCCTCATCTGAACTGGAAAAAGGCCCAAGACCCAAGACCATAGTCCCTCTCATCCCTTACTTATTCAGTTAATTGAGATTCTCTCTCCCGTCCCCTTCAGCCGAGCTGGAAAAATTTGAAAACACATCCCCCCCCCTCCTCTTTTTTCTCTATCATCTAGGGTATCTTAAGATCTCCCCTCCCTAAATAAAACACATGCAAAATAAATACATTAAAATCGCCTTACCTTCAGCTGATCTAAAAAAAACCCCAACAACCTCGCATACCTCTCAA